TATTTTATTTTTTTCAAAATGCATTGGTATTTTGAATATGCTGTTTTCATGCATGTTTGGAGAATTCACATTTTCTTTTCGTAGAAACTGGTTAAGAATTCTAGATTAAATAATTACATTGGTTGGGCAATGGTGACTGCCTAGTTGCCTCCTCCCTTCACACAATACTCACCTATACCATCCATCACTACATACCCACCCTTCCCTTCACCCTTTTCCCTTTTGCCCCCTTCCCTTTCAACTCCTATCCCTCTCTGAGATAGTTCAGTTGCTGTCTGCCCCTACACTTATGTATTGTACTGAACAGTAGCTCTGCTCTATTTAACATGTATATTACATGTATAAGTTAATTACCCATGTTTAATACTTTGTCAATGAGAAGAAACAGTATTGAATGTATAATCTTGAGTAAATATTCTTCATTAAGACAATGAAATTGAATACTGGATATTTTGGCTCAAGAATGCATCTGTAATTATAATATGGGAAGGGGGCTTGGAAAAATAGGTTCCAAAGTTCTGAACACTTGACTTATGAACAAGTTTCAGGAATGCATTAACACCATAAGTTGGGGTCTACTGTATTTATGTGTGTGTGTGTATTTTATATTGTCTTCTACAGATTTTGGCATGTTCTGAGAAAAAATATAGATGCAGTATGATTAATGGTGAAAAAATACAAACTTAGGAGCTAGAGTATTGCTGTGGCATGATAGAATGTTCTATGCTGTATCTGCATTAAACTTTGTCTTCCTATACAGCATATGCACATTTGTTCCCACAGCAGAAAAAAAAAAAACTTGTGAATATGACTAGCTGTGACATATCCTAACTGTGTGTGAAGCAAATATTTCTGTATCCTTTTCATCCCAACTACGAAACCTATATCCTTGCTGGTCAAAACCTGACTAGGAGACTGTTATTATGCCTCTGGGCGAGTCTTCTCATGTCTTGTAAAAATTCTAGGAAAATTCACCTCTTGAATAACTGAAGGTTAATATGACCCCCCTGGTCATTTCATTGTGCTTGCTTGACCCATGTATGACCCTTGTAGGTTTAGCACTTCATTTATGATTAAAATAATTGCTTGGCCCATCCATTTGTCTCCCCTTATTTTCAAACCCACTGACTCCTGTTTTACAATAATTGGTGTACCTACTCTCTCCAGCTGATCTTATCCTTGATCTAGTATTCCTTTAATATTCCTGATTCACTTGTGCTTTGCACCAGTCAACCACTGACTTTGCAAGAAACACTGGCTCTAAAATGCTGATACTCTTTCTGTCCAACTTCAGATTGTTTTTGTTTAAACTAGCACATTCTTAGACCCCTTGTGTTACACTTGTTTATATTCACTTTTGAGTTAGACATTATTCCTATGGAAAAAATGGCATACTGTAATTGAGAACTTTCCATTATGCATGACATTCCTGTGATTGGTTTTGCAGCCCAGCACAAGCCACTTTTTTTTGGTCAACCTACTTATCAACCAGGTTGTTGCTGCAGGTGACCTGTATGTACCTAGCCATTACAACCTAGTTGATCTGGCACATGTTGCAGGTAGTGGTTTAGTGTTTCCTTGAAAACTGCCTCCCTTGTTCAAGTAGTATTTCATATCTGCTGGTTGAAGGTTGAAGAGTTTTGAACTATAGATGTTAACATTGTTCTCTGTGCACCTCAGCTCTTCACTGGTTTACTGTACATTCGTTTATGTATCGCTCCTTTCAGTGGGTTATGGCAGTTTACAGACTGGGGATGTGTCCCTCAAATATCTTCCATGAATTTGGTACATATATTACCAGGTATGTCTCTTCCCTTTTCCAAAGAGTATATTCCAAAAGCTTGAGAATGTTCCCAGTAGTTCAGGCTCTCGTATTTCTTCAGCCTCAAAAAGCAGTGCGAGCAAAGATCAATATTTGAGATGCGAGAGCACGATTTATTTGAAAATTACAACTGGTGGCATGATTACTGTTGTATTCATGGCCTTCGGGCCAAAGCAGTGCCTATTTGTAATTACCTGCTTCTTGTTACAAAAATACACCGGCTCTCATGATGTCCCATCTATTAAACAAGTTTGTAAAATTCTTTGTGCCGTATTTTGCGGCTTATTAGATGCATTTTTTCCATACACTGTCCCCAAAAACTACCTTGTGTCCTATAAACTGAAGGTCAGTGACAGGAGCTATAAGTTTAGGGTGTGGGGTGCGATGTAGCTCTACCGGTTACATCTAGTGCCGAGCCACTGAAACTAAAACAAGTCTTATAAGATGCGAAATACGGTAGTTTTGATTCAGCATTTTTTTCTTTAATTTCATCCATCTGTCATTTGAAATTTTTGTTATTTTTTCATTTACTATCTATCTTGGTCTCAATCTAGTAGGCTACCACTATCTGTAAACAAATACTTTTTTTTTTCACCATTGCTTTCCACAATTTACACATGTGACTGCTGGGTCTCTTCACTGGTGCTAAAATATCTTCTACATAATTATTTAATGTTCTTTTATGATTTTATAAGTGGTTATCCTTCCTCCTGGTATCAACAATAGTAGACACTGCTGTTTTAAGTCTTCCATCACAACTCATGATTTTCACTTCTGGCAGATGTTTTGTAGCATGTCTCCGAATCTTTGCTATTTTATCTACACAATTTCATTTAATGTGTGCACCACACAACTGCCATATGTTCATATTTTGATCTGATTTATTTTGTTAGCTTCTTCTTTCATCATACCCAAATTAATTTTTTTAACAGCAGCAGTCTCCCACCAAGGAAGGATGAAATGATAAAGTTTAACACATTCCCTATTCACTCAACAGTTGTCTTATGAGAAGTGTCCAGACATCACAATTCAAATAACTCTTGAAGTGCAATGTTCCTTCCAGAACTCTAGTCTGGCTAATTGATTTTCCCAGAATCTCTTCAGAAATATTATAGTATTTATGAATAAGTACTAAACCCATAGGGATTAGCCAAAACATGTGTGAAACCTATTTAAGAGTACATAGGATACGAGTAACAGCATAGCATGCATTTCTTAAAATTCATTTAAGTTATCTTCTGGTGATTGTCTTTCGAGTCCTCCCAGATCTTGTTTAATCTAACAATTTCAATATGGCCTATTTTCACTCTTCCATTTTATTACTTTTTTTTTCTCTCTCTCTCTCTCTCTCTCTCTCTCTCTCTCTCCCCCAGAGTAAGTTCTGACATTTATCTATCACTTCTTGCACATACCTGTTTATAAATTATTTTGCACAAGACTTTTTGCATCTGCAAATATGTTCATTTTTTTTTATTTCTTATAACGAATAATTTATTCTTTGTGGAACTCCACTGGCAAAATTTTTCAACTGGATAATCTTCATCTTATTACTATTTTTTTTCTTGGATAACAGCACTATCATTCTAATCATTTGTCTTGGACTGCTCTGAAGTTTTGCAACTAACACAACCTGCCCATGTATCTTGTTCTTGTCTGCTTCCAATGACCATCAGTGACAATTGGGTTTTATATAAAAGAGGGATTCAGGGAAAGTGGTTAGCTGGACTTGAGTCCTGGAGGTGAGGAGTACAAAAACAGTGATTATGTGTGAATGATGGTGAAAGTTTTTTTTTTTTTTTTGGGTCACCCTGCCTCGGTGAGAGACTGCCAGTGTGTTAAAAAAAAAAAAATCTTTCTGATCTGAAACCAAACTGTTTGGTAAACAGCAGGTATATTATCCACTTTCTTAAATGGCTATATCCAAGAGCTCTAAAGTTTAAAGGATCTTCCCTATTATCTTTTTTTCAAATACTGGCACAAAGTTCCCTGTGTGTGTGTGTGTGTGTGTGTGTGTGTGTGTGTGTGTGTGTGTGTGTGTGTGTGTGTGTGTGTTGTGTGTGTGTGTTTTTATCTGTTTGAAAGGAATTTGTTGCAGCTACAGGAGGAGAGCTCATTTAAGGTGTCCCTTGAGTATTTAATTTATTTTTTGGATCGCACAGCTTTGGTAGGAAACAGCTTCTATATTACAAGGAAAATATCAGTGGTTGTAGTGCTTACACATTTCATACCCCATTTCACTGTTCTATCATTCTCTATCAAAAACTGCTCCTTTCAGCATCTCTTCCTTAGTTTACTGTTTTGATTTTCTTAATTCTCCCTGGTGATGGTGTCAAGAAATTGTGATTATCTACTTTTTCACAAGCTTTTATTTTACTGTGTGTGTGTGTGTGTAGGTACATGTGTGTGTAGGTACATGTGTGTGTGTGTGTGTAGGTACATGTGTGTGTGTGTAGGTACATATGTGTGTGTGTGTGTGTGTGTGTGTGTGTAGGTACATGTGTGTGTGTGTGTGTGTGTGTGTGTGTGTGTGTAGGTACATGTGTGTGTGTGTGTGTGTGTGTGTACAAATATATGAATACAGGATTTTGTACTTAGGAAATTTCAAAAGAATAATTGCCTATACATATTCATTTTCATTTACTGTTATATTAAACATAGTATAAAGACTATTGTAATGCTAAAGTGAGCTGGAGTAGGCAAGAATGTTCACTGTATGCACAGTACTAACACAGAAGATTCTATAATACAATTTGCAAAGGTGATAGCTACATAACTAATTTTAGTAGATTGTTATTTCCATAATAAAATATCAATCATGACAAAATAACTAAGAATTTCAAACCCAATTAAAGTTTAAAATATGTGAATTTAATAACCCCAAACCTCATAAATAAAAAATTTGACAGAAAATATTAATAAGGGAATACATTGATATTTCTTCCTACTGTACATCCAAAAATAACCAGTGGCAGTGACAGACTTTCATGTCATAGATCAAAAATAATATTTTGATTAAAAGTGAATAAAAAAAAAGGTTAAGAAAGAAATTCTTAACATATATGTTCCCTCACCATTACTTACTGTCAAATTCACCAAGCAAATATTAAAGGCTCTGGTCAAGTGCCATGAGTAGGTCAGACCCTTGCAGTAAATTACAATTATTGGCTGGAGCATTAACCTCATAGTCCTGCTGAGTTAGATCCAGGAGGTTGGGAATAGTAGTCTCAGGATCCATCAACAAGAGTGGGTCTTGTCTCCGCCCTCGTTTCACCAAACCCTGGCCAGACTGCCAGTTTGGGTTGGTGGCCAGTTTGAGTGCAAAATGGCCAGCTTGCATGAGGGCACCGTGGCTTCCAGTCACTAATCTCACTTTAGGAATCATCAACTGACCATCATTGATTCCCCCAGCACCAGCTAACAACATAGTAGCCATCTTGTCCCTAGGAAGACGCACTGTTGTAGAAGTCAGGCCACTACCTCCTGCCTGGTGCTCTCCAATCACTATACTGCCATCACCATTCACATTCTGCATATAAAAAAATAGGAAAAAAATGTATTTATCATAACAGCTTTTAAAGCCTCCAAAATCCTCAAAATATTCATTGGACTTTTATCACTGTGCAGTTTTAATTTGGTGAGCAAATTTTAATCTACGCACTATTTTTAGTTTAAGCAGAAGGATGGGCAAGCAGGATTTGTTCGTGTTAAAAAGATCCAGTATTTTACTAAAATGTGTTAGATCCCCCTCTCTCTTCTTAAATTTAACAGTCAACTTATTGCAAAGCATAAAAAACTAGATAATGAGGAAGAGAGGGATTAACACCAGGTTTTGTACACACTGGCTGGGCTTCCCTCCCTCATATTAAATCTGGAATTATTTTAGCATGCATATCTTGGACACTGGGTGCAACACATTAATGAGTTAATTTTGTGGGCTTTATGTATGCAAGATATACATTTTATACTAGCCAACATTTTGGGTTTTATGTGCCAAATAGTATATATATAAAATAAAACATGATGTAGATGTGCTTCACGCCCCACTGGGAAGAGGGTTTATTAAAAAAAAAATTCATGGTTAGAGAACATTACATAAAATTATTCCACAGCAGTGAAAATGGTGTTACATAAAAAATGTCTTATGGTAGACCAAAGACATTAAATAAAAGAATATGTGGGACTGCAGTCAGCTTTCATAAATTTCCTCTATTACAGTACAATTTTTTTGTAAATATGACTGAAAAAGAACATCCAAAATTAAACAGCACACAGAAAGAATTTCAGAGTACATGCTATTTAGTTTTAATACATTTTTAATAGCATTTAAAAAAAATGGCAATATAGAGGAGCTTTATAAGAAAGCTGCCTCTAGGGGAAATGTACTGGATCCCTCTCAGTCGACACATGGTAGCCTGGTATAAAAACAATGTTCTCTAAGGATATGATAAAATAAAGTTGTGTAAATAAAACACAGCCGTTTAAATCTGTAGTGGAAGGAAGGAGGGTTAAGGGTCGTCTTGGAGTTGTTGTAATGATGAATTTAGGCTAAACATTTTGCAAAACAATATTTGCTTATTCCAGCAGTGTTTCTGATATCTTCTGGTAAGATGTTGAAAAGTCTGGGACTCCAGATGTTGATACAGTGTTCCCTTATTGTCCTCACTGCACCCCTGCTCCTCACTGGGTTTATTTTACACTTCCTCCCATATCTCTCACTCCAGTATGTTATGGCAGTGTGCAGATTTGGGACCAAGCCCTCGAGTACCTTCCAGGTATATATTATCATGTACCTCTCTCTCCTCCGCTCCAATGAGTACATGTTCAAGACTTGCAGGCGTTCTCAGTAGTTTAGGTGCTTTACTGGCTCAATGTGAGCCGTAAACGATCTCTGTATTTGTTCCAGCTCCGATATCTCTCCTGCCCTGAACGGGGCCATCAGCACTGAGCAATATTCTAAGTGAGGTAGCACTAGCGATTTGAAGTGTCACCATTGGCATTGTTTCCTTTGCTTTGAAAGTTCTCAATACCCACCCAGTCATCTTCCTGGCTGTCGTGATCTTTGTCTTGTTATGGTCTTTAAAAGAAAGGTCCGCTGACATAATTATTCCTAGGTCTTTTACGTGTTCCTTACGTTCTATTTGGTGACCCTCTTTAGTTTTGTATATAGTGCTCCTTTTGAGTTCTTCATTCTTTCCATACCTAAGCAGCTGGAACTTATCACCATTGAACGTCATGTTGTTTTCCACTGCCCACTGGAAAACCCTGTTTATGTCTTCCTGTACTTTTTCAGCATCCTCTACCGTACTGATTTTCATGCTTATTTTAGTGTCGTCTGCAAATGATGATACAAAAGTGTGCTGGGTATTTTTGTCTATGTCTGCTATGAGAATGAGGAACAGCAGAGGTGCCAGGACAGTGCCTTGGGGCACTGAGCTTTTGACCTTGCTGTTGCTGGATCTTGCCCTGTTCACTACTACTTTTTGTGTTGTGTGTTAGGAAACCGAAAATCCATCTGCCTACCTTCCCATGCTCATTATATTCTGTTAAATTCTTTCTAAAGTACCAAGCTACCTCAACAACTCTTCCAGCCTCTGAATAATATCTTTAGTAACCCCACATTGATTTCTAATTTCTACAATCTGAATTCTCTGCATAATATTCACACAACTCATTACTTTCAAGCATGACATCTCCACTGCCTCAAACATCCTTGTTGCAATAATTAAAAACAATGCCTCGCATCCATATAAAAGTTGGTACAGTGGTATCCCAAGTTTCGAACTACTCCCAACTCGACCAATTATGTAAATGTATTATTGTAAATGCTTTTGCAAGTGGCTCTGGTGGCCTGGTGGTTAACGCTCTCGCTTCACACGGTGAGGGCCTGGGTTCGATTCCCAGCCAGAGTAGAAACATTGGACGTGTTTCTTTCCACCTGTTGTCTATGTTCCCCATCAGTAAAATGGGTACCTGGGTGTTAGTCGACTGGTGTGGGTCGCATCCTGGGACACTGACCTAAGGAGGCCTGGTCACAGACCGGGCCGCGGGGGCGTTGACCCTCGGAACTCTCTCAGGTAAACTCTCTCCAGGTAAGTGTATTTTTGGGGGTGTGAAAAGGATTAATCTAATTTACATTATTCCTTATGGGAACAAATTTGTTGGGTAACGGCACTCGAACAGCCTTCTGGGACGAAGAATGTTCAAAACTCTGGGTACTACTATACTCCACAGTACATTTCACTTTTGACCTCCACAGTAAACTTTTAAACAGATACCTCAACACTCTGCCTATCTTAGCCCTGTGTCTATGGTTCACCTCATCTTTCATAAATTCATCTGCTGATGTGTCCACCCCTCAAATATTTAAATACATTCAGTTCCTCTATAATGCTTCCTTCCTTCAATATAGATCCTCTAATCTTTGCACCTTAACTCTTAGTCTCATCACCTTGTTCTTTATGTTTACCTTAAATTTCTTTTACATACCGTCCCAAACTCCTCCACCAACCTTTGCAACTTTTTGTCAAAATCTTCCTCGAGGCTTTGAGGGTAACCGATGTTTCACTTGCCAACTACAGATGTGAAAAAGTGACATAAGCATTTCAAATTGCTGATAATGTATCAATTTCAAATAAAGAAAGATTTGCTTAATAATTAAAATGGACCAACAAACAGTAATGCCATTCTTGAGACACAAGTCGCCACACTAGCGTCTGAATATACAGTACTGTAATACCTACCTTATACCTGGCAACATACAGGCTACATAGTTAAAAGCAAGTTTTATTGAGAAAAACAAATGCCACTCATTAACAAACCAAAATGCAATGTGCACAATTATATTTAACAATTTTTGTAACAAAAAAAAAAAAAAAAAAAAAAAAATGGAAAAATTACTGCTCATGCATGTGCTATAACCAAAGTATACAGTCATGCCTCTGCCAACACTAATACAGTAGGGCCCTGCTTTATGGCATTCTGCTAACATGGCGATTTCAAATTACGACCAAAACTTGCTATACGGCTAGTGGTCTTTCTAATACAGTGGACCCCCGCATACCGTTGGCATCACATAACGATTAATCCGCATACCGCTTGCTTTAATCGCAAAAATTTTGCCTCACATACCGCTTAAAAACCCGCTCACCGCTGTTCGTCCGAGACACGTCCAATGTGCGCCTTAGCCAGCCTCACATGTTCCGCCGGTGGCATTGTTTACCAGCCAGCCTCCGCGGTAGCATCCAAGCATACAATCATAACATTTCGTATTATTACAGGGTTTTTGGTGATTTTATCTGGAAAATAAGTGACCATGGACCCCAAGAAAGCTTCTAGTGCCAACCCTACAGCAATAAGGGTGAGGATTACTATAGAGATGAAGAAAAAGATCATTGATAAGTATGAAAGTGGAGTGCGTGTCTCCGAGCTGGCCAGGTTGTATAATAAACCCCAATCAACCATCGCTACTATTGGTGGTACAGCTGCTGCTGCTGCACTGTCAGCTGCTGCTGCTGCTGCTGCTGCAGCATCGTCTGCTGCTGCTGTAGCATCGTCTGCTGCTGCTGTAGCATCATCTGCTGCTGCTGTAGCATCGTCTGCTGCTGCTGTAGCACTGTCAGCTGCTGCTGCTGCTGTAGCATCGTCTGCTGCTGCTGTAGCATCGTCTGCTGCTGCTGTAGCACTGTTGTTGGTGTGGCTTATTGAGAATATACCAAGAAACAATTAACCCTAGAGGATTTGCCACCCAGGATAACCCAAAAAAGTCAGTTTCATCGAAGACTGTCTAACTTATTTCCATTGGGGTCCTTAATCTTGTCTCCCAGGATGCAACCCACACCAGTCGACTAACACCCAGGTGAACAGGGAAAAATGCCTGGAACTAGTGCTCATATTGGTGAATTTAAAGCCAGCAAAGGTTGGTTTGAGAGATTTAAGAATCATAGTGACATACACAGTGTGATAAGGCCTGTTCTGGAAGAAAATGCCAAACAGGACCTACAGTACTCAGGAGGAAAAGGCACTCCCAGGACAGTGTCTCATCAGTCATTGCTGCATCTTCAATGAAGATAAGTGTCATTTATTCTTCATTTAGTAGACTAGTACATGCACAATATATACTGTGCATGTACTACTCTACTATTGTGCATGTATCCTTCTCTTTGTGTGTAGGAAAATGTATATTTCACGTGGTAAAATTTTTTTTTTCATACTTTTGGGTGTCTTGCACGGATTAATTTGATTTCCATTATTTCTTATGGGGAAAATTCATTCGCATACCGATTATTTCGCATACCAATGAGCCCTCTTGCACGGATTAAAATCGGTATGCGGGGGTCCACTGTAATAAGATTCTCTCTACTCGACTTGGGTGCATTAAATGTTGTATATTATGTTAATATAGACATTTCCATTAATCCATCTATGATATTTTTTCAAAATTGTGTAATACAGGCTACATAACATATAAACATGATACAGACACCCACAGTATAAAAACTGACATGTATGAGATATGTTTACCAAGCA